TTTTTTTTTTTCTTTTAACGCATCTTAAATACAAGAAATCCAGCGACCGTCCAACTTCCCTTATAACAGTACTTAAAATCTCGCCAATATTTCTTTGACTAATTTTCAAAATATTTTTTTCGCTTTTAACCGCCATTGAATGCTTGATGGTAACTGTATTAGGTTTTCTTAGACAATTTTTCGAAATAAATTGTCGGAAAACTAAAAACAAAGTAAAACTTGCCTGTTAAGTTGCAGGTTGAAAGTGTTATAAGAATGATAGCCATCTGCGGAAATCTGTTGAAAGCAATTAAAGTTAATAATTATTAACAATTACAGAGAAGAAGGTTACCAATAATATGAACAATTCAACACAACAGTAACTCAAGACTGTTGACTTGACCAGAAAAAATTTTTTTTTCTCACGAGCATCTAAGAAACAAAAAAGTTTCTGACTGATATGAGAAGCCGATAAAAAGTAAAGTTTGTAAAAACATTGTCTACAATTTCTCGAAAAAACTTCTACTTCCATTTTTAGCAATCTACCGAACTGCCGCAGTTGTTGCGGTCGATTCTAACTGAAGTTTCCTCTAGCCAATAAAAACGCGGTCCACCCAAAAAAACCTCAAAAATTCTCTCATCTTTGTTACAGTTATCAAAAAAACGTTCACTAATTCTTTATTTTTCATTTATTTTTCTTGCACTTTTCTTATTCGTCCTCGTGTAGAGTAACGCCAGAGTTCTATGGTTACAGCTGTTACTTATAACATCCAATGTTCTTGTCTAAAGACCTCAATAAGAACCTTTTTACCTGGAATCACGATTGACCATTCGTCCACTCTTTTTTAAGTTGATAAGGTGATGAATCAAGACTTAGAATTTGAACCTTTATAGTACTACCTTTCAGATAACTGATACTTGCCGGAATATCCCGATCCTTTTTCACTTTTTTACTATTCTTATGATTGCATCTCCAAGTCTACCTAAAAAATCTTTTCAAATTTTGTCACGCTATTGCTCTCCTACCTATATTATTTTAGTCACACATTTTAGGTAATGGTGAGGTCACACTAAATATTAACTTTTACGTACCCTTTAGATAGATTCAAAACTTGAAATTTGGAGCAAAACTTAAATCCCTCTGAAGTTCGTGCGAATTTAGAGGGAGTTGTATATGATAACAGAGGCAATTCAGACGAGTAATCTTGTGCTTTTAACCTCCCGGTAAGATGAGCTTCTCATTCAACGTCTTCATGACTTCTAATACCTATATCATTTCTTTCGCTGTTTTGAAACTTACTTAAAAGAGGGATATTATTGAACACAATCCGTTTAATGAAAACGGTTTCCACAATAGAAGGGCCAAATAAAGCTACATAAAATACTTCTCACGCCTACTGAGATTGGTTGGGGACAGCAAAAAATTTACCAAACACACTTTTCACTTTTGAAAATAAATACAAAATTAAAAAGTGAGAGGCCAGAATGGCAATTAGTAAATATTATATAATTTCAATAAAAATTTCAAATAGTAAATACACGAAACTGTTTAGCAAAGATGGTTATGAAAAGATTATACCAAAGCCAAAACTATAAAATTGAAATTATAAGCCAATAAATGGTGGCTTCTCGTTTGAAAAACAAAAGCCAGCAAAATAATAGAGTGTAAGATGAAATTTAGAACTAATGAGCACACTGCTCAAATTCTATTCTGCAAAACCACAGATTGTGTGTTACTGCAGTGACAGGTCTTATACGTAACATTAAGTATATGTGACTAAACGAGAAAAAGAAATGATAGATTGTTTGTTCCCGTTGCTTACAGCAGACGGTCCAAATAGAATCGTTCAGTTCATTTTTTGCTAGTCTAGTAACTGATACAACTGAGGAGAAAACAATAATTCAAACTATTTAAAAGATTATGCTTGAAGTACTTCTAGTAAAACTGTCTCAGATGCTTCCATAAATTGCGGAACTTACTTCTATTAAACTTCCTCCGTCGAATAACCTAAGTATAGCGCCAAGCCCTTCCAGATGCCTTACACCTCGCACTCCGCCTCTGCACGAATTTCTGCCATGTTGATTGAACTGCGTTCTGTGAATCCACAACCTAGCATCTCTGCCTACACAAGAATATTTCATATTTAACTTCTCTACCAGAGGCTGTTATAAAACTGTTTGAGCGCTCATAAATAAAACTA